GAAAGCAACAACAAATCTCTAGAAGAAATCTGTGCAAATAAAAATATAGATAAACTATAGGAAATTATTGCAAATAAGATTATAGAAAGTGCATATGCTACTCTTCTAAACCAAAAGATATCTGCAAACAAAGTACTCCTAAAGAAGCTAAGTGCTAGCAATAAAATCCAAAAAGATCTAAAACATCTAGGGAAGATTTGTCATATTTGTACTAGAAAATTAGGTTAAAATATAGATGATGAAGAATATCATCTGGCAAACTCAAAGATAGCTAACCTTAATGAAAAATATGAAACTCAAATAGAGCAGATATCAGAAGAGCAATAGATATGAGGACCTTAAAGACTGGTAAAAAATCCTTAGCACTAAAGCACAGCAAGAAAGGAAAAAAGAAGAACTTGCAAATATAAATATATATATTGATGCTTGATATGAAGCAATTCAAGGAGAGCTAAAGCATATACTTAATAGTCTTCTTAAAAGGCCTTCTAAAAAAGTCAAAATTAATAGAGTAATGAAAGCTAGAGAAGAAGAGAAGGTTTTGCTTACAGAAGAAAGTAAAGTACAAAGTGAAGTATGATCATATTTTATGAGGCAATTTCAGAAGTATAACACAAAACAAAGCTTCTTATTCTCAAAATAGATCAGAGCTTATAATTCTATAGAAAAGCTAAGTGAAGATATTTACTCTAAATTGTCTGACCAAGTTATGGAAGAAGAATAGAGGAATGCCCTTAGCAAAACAAAAAACAAATTAGCACCAGGAGTATCAGAAATAAGCTACCCTCTAATTAAGAGAGTAGATAAGGTAGCCTAAAAAATCTTTACAATATTAGCAGATTGTTGCCTAACTATAGGAGATATTCCAGTCAAGTGAAAATAGGTAAGCTATATCCAATTTCCAAGAATAAAGATTAGAATTACAATCTCTCAAATATCAGACCAATTGTACTCCTAGAAGCCTTCCGAAAAATAGTAGTTAGAATACTTAATACAAGATTAGATTATATTCTAGTCACACACAAAGTATTAGAAGGTCCTAACTATACAGAGTTAACAGGAGACAATACAGCAAGCCCTATTCATATTATGAATAATATTCTTGAAGATACAAGACAAAAAGGTAAAGAAGTTTAGATTTTGTTTTAAGACATGAAAAAAGTATTTGACTCAGTAAGCTTAGAAATGATGAAAAAAGCATTGAGAAGAATTAAACTTCCAGAACAAACAATAAGCTTCCTTCTTAGCCTATACAACAAAAGAAGAATTAAGGTTATTACAGAATATGGTCTGATGCAAGAATTTATAGCAGAAGACAGTTTTAACCAAGGAGAGGTAGTTTCACTGCTAATGTAGCATATCTTTTATGATCCTTTATTATGCTTAATTCATAAAAAAGAAAATATAGAGTATATTATAGATTCAGAATAGCCTTCTGACCTAAGCTCAAACAGAACTCAAGTATCACACTGGTAGCAGGGAGTATTAGCTTATGCAGATAATACAATCTAGATAGCAAGATCAAAAGAAGAGTTACAAAAAATTATTGATATATCAACAGAGTTCAACGAATTTAATAATATTGAAATCAATAGTAAAAAATCAGAGCTTTTGGTATTGAACCTCAAAAACAATGGAAGGAAAGCAAATTATATACCTGAAATCAGTCTAGGTAAAAACAAAGATATAGTATGAGCAAAAAAAGAAAAAGAAGCAATAAGACATCTCAAAGTATGAATATCTAAAAAAGGTAGAAAAAAATACAATGAACTAATTATCTCAAAAGAAATTGCAAAGATATGTAAAGCTATTCTATAGAAAAAAGCTTCAGTAAGCTAGCTAGTTTATCCAAATAATAGTATTCTACTACTAAGTATCGAATATAGACTTCAAACCTCATTTTTCTCCAAAAATACATGCAAGCGTATTCAAAGACCTATTTAAAAACAAATTAGGTCTAGCAAAATCAACTTCAAACAGCATGTGTAGTCATTTAAAAATATTAGAAATGCATACAATTTGGCAGAATCAGTTAGCATACTATATTACAGAACTGATAATATATATGAATAGACAAGATGAGCTAGGAATTACCACAAGACTCAGAATTAGAGAAGCATAATACAAAAGTTCTTGTTTAAGTAATATAACTAGCAGTGAGGTAAAGTTAGATGATATAGTTTTCAGATATAACCTAGTCTTTAAAGTAATAGCAGAGGCAAAAAAACTAGGTTTTAGCTTTCAGGAAAGCAGTTTTTACTAAACTGGTCTAAACCTAAAAGGCATGAGTCTATTGAGTATACTAGGGAGAAAAGAAGCAATTAACTACAAAAATAGCAATAACATAAATATTTTTGTATTAGAACAACTAATTACAAGAAATGATAATATCCTGCTAACATAGCAACAAGTTAAAACTATTAGAGGGTATAAGGGAAGAGGACTAAAACCAAACTGGTACAAAGATTTAGAGATAAAAGTTCTTGAAGATAGTAGCTCAAGAGTTCTGAAGGCAGAGTTCCAGATAGATTTGACAAATAGTTCAGCAATAAGATGCAAAGAACTAAGAGTATCTGCAGATAAAAGGAAAAAAGAATGAGTTACATTTGAGAAGAAAGGAAAACTAAAATGCAAGAGAGTTACAAAAAAAGAATCTAAGTACTTTATAGTAGAGCACTAGAAAATAGAAGAAAATGATAACTCAGAAACTTCTATATTAATAATCATATGCAAAAGCTGCAAGTTAGAGAAATGAAATGATACGAGCTGTTTGATCAGACTTAAGTATGCAAATTGGTACTAGATACTTAATAAGATTCATAGAGATAATGAGCTTACTTCTACTATAATACCAACTTCAACTTATAAAGATAATAGAAAAGTAGTTAATGCTAAGGTAATAGATAACAGCAATGACATAGAAGTTAGTATTATGGAAATAGAAGAAGCAGTTATACATAGAGTAATTAGAGATAATAATTTACAAATTGAGCTTAGTAAAATAGTGAGATTACTTAAAGGAAAGAAGAAGCTAGATATATATACAGATAGCTCACTAGTAGTAGAAAACTTAGAAGGGAGAGAAATTAAAAAGATAAGTATCAGTTGGGTAGTAGCAGATAATAGTAGGATAGAATTTAGTATTAGTTTTAGTAGTAGTATAGTAGAATGGCCTTCGTCTACATATGCAGAACTAGATGCAATCTGAACAGCACTATTAGTAGTACCCTTTAGAGCAACTGTTAGAATATTCTCAGATAGCAAGGCAGCAATTGAAGGAATCTAGAACTTTAAAGGCCTTTCAAAGCTAAGAAGCAATTTTAAAGCAAAAAATTATAGCATAATCAATCAAATTGCAGACTGCTATAAAACGAAAGAAATTAAGCTAGATCTAATTAAAGTAAAAGGTCATAGTTCAAATATTTGGAACAATAGAGCAGATCAGCTAGCTAAAGAAGGCCTCTTTTTACTTAATTCTCGAAGCCCAAGAAGTAAAAACAAGTAAAATTAAATTTTTCTTATTATAGAAAAACAAAATTATAGATAATGTACTTAGATCTTTTGTTAATATAACTATAGCAACAGTTTATGAATGCATATGAGCAGACTTAAATAGTATCAAATCAGTATTAAACCAGAGGCTATCAGACCAATGCAATGACGAGCTAAACTGGAAAAATACGTAGAGTGTTTTGAAAAACTTACAAGAGAAAAAATACATGAGTATAAAGAAGAGCAAAATACTAATATTTAGGCTAGAATATCTAAATAAGCTTTTGCCAACAAAAGACATATGCTATCAAAGAGACCCTATGCTCTGCAAAACCAAGACCTGCATTGCATGTTATGCAAAAGCAGAATCCTTCGAGCACTTAGCAGATTGTGTAGTCTACCAACTAATATGGAAGAAGATAGAAGTAGTGATTATTGAAAAGCTGAACTCATTACTTATCTTCAAATTGGAAGTTGAAATCAAAGCTCAGAAATTAAGTAAAATCTTTCTAGATTTAAGTACAGAAATCAAGCTAGAAAAAAGAAAACTTTATATACAGGAACTAACATATTCAAGTCTGTTAGCAAAAGCTAAAGCTCTTTTTGAATCAGCATCTAAAACAAACAAAGCTATATGCTAGTTTACTGAAATCTTCTGGTTAAATTTTTTTGAAAGACTATGAAAATTTCGATGTGAAGTTTTTCTAGAGTGAAAAAAAAGAAACAATATAGATTCTAAAAAAAAGAAGAAGAAATGAAAATATAAAGACTAATTCGAGCAGAAGAGGAATTAAGCAGGAAAGGAAACCAAAATTCTGTAGAAAAGAGGCTATAAAATTACCTAATGCTAAAGAGAAAAGGATTTAGAAAGAAGCTAAAAATAGAATTGATAAATGGATTAAAGAGGGTACGAAAGAAAGTTGGTTAAGTTTTAAAAATAATTAAATAGGCATTCTGATATAAGCACATAGTAGCCTTCTGGAGATTCTTAGAATATAACTTTGCTTAGGTATTCTATTCTTTGAGAAGGAAAATTTACTATTGTAGCAGATCGCACCTGGGTACTTTAGGCAGCTGAGTGAGTTCTAAATTATATAAAGAGAATATTTTTATAGTTAAATTAGTTTAGCTTATATTTTTGTTGTAACATTTTATATATTTTCTCTTAATAAATAATAGACAAGATCATCTAAGTAAAAAAAAATAAAATAAAATAAAATAAAATATAAATTTATATCTAATATTAAATTTTCAGAACAATTTAATTTTTGAATTATTTTTAAATTAATTGCTGCTGTTTCTTGAGAAAAAAGTTGATCAGAAAGAATTTGTCAAAAAGGTAGTATATATCCTGATTGTAAAGTTTTTAAAAAATCAATAAAAAATAGACTATTAATAACATTCTATGATATTCTATAAATAACAAAAACTTTAACACAAGTTTTGTTAATTTCATTAATCCTTTCAGATATAAGTTTAGAACTTTTATGAAAATCAGAAATTTTGGTTTGAATATTTTTTTTAGATCTAAAATTTCTAGATCTTTCTAAAAGCTTGCTTAAATATTTTTGCTTGATTTCATTAGAAATATTAGAACAATTATTAGCTAAATGCTCTTCAAAATCTTGAGGAGAGTCTTTAGTTTAATGATAAAAACAATAATTTTAAATTTCTTCATAATGTCTTTTTGAAATTTCTTTGCCTTTAGTAAAATGATTATTCCAAATATCTGAGAGTGGTCTTTCTCCTTTTTTGCTAACTTGAGACATTTTCTAAATTATAAATATTAATTAGTATTAATTAACCCCCTTTCTATTTTTTTTGTCGGCATATCTCTGATCATTGCCATATATATGTATAATTGTTCATGTGTATTTAATCGTATTGGCTTTAGTCTTTGCCCGTGATCCGCCACATTTCCTTTTTGACTAAAACGGAATAGATTTTCATATAAAAATTTTATATTA